ATCAGTAGGAATGGTGCCTTATAAAAGAAGTTCCAGAAAGATCCCTAGCCCCTTCCATCATGTAGAGATACAGAGAAAAGAAGCCTGCAATGAACCACCTGATCATGCTGGCACTTTGGTATCAGACTTTCCATCCCTAGAACTATGAGTAATAAGTTTCTGGTATGTATAAAAAAAAAAACAAACTGCCTCAAGCTTCAGTTTTCTCACCTGTAAAATAGGAATAACAATGGTCCCTATTTCAGAGTTTTTGTAAAGATTGAATAAGATAATGTAAGTAATAACTAAAACATTTAGCATAGTGTTTAACATGAAGTAAGGACTCAATAAATAATAGTCATAGTAGTGCAGGGTATATAGTTCCTTTCTTCTTTACTTCTGCTTTATCTCTAAAAACATTCCTTTTTATCCACATTATCTCCTGTTATGGGTGCCTGGCTGGCTCAGTAGGTAGTGCATGCGACTCTTGATCTTGGGGACTCCTGAACATGGGTTCAAGTCCCATGTTGGGTGTAGAGATTACTTAAAAAAGTAAATAAAATCTTTAAAAACAAAAACAAAGCAAAACAAAAATAGCTCCTGGTAACCTGGACTAGATGAAGGAAACAGGCAGTACCTGGACTACTGTTCTAGCATTATGCCCCCAGTTTCGGCTCCCTCCGCTTTATTTTCTTCGTAGCACAAATGGTAATCTTTTTAAAACATTTCCTTTTCCCTGAGTCCCAGTCACCTTTAAATAGGATAAAGTCTGGACTCTTAACATGGTTTATAAGGCAGTTTGCTTCACAGTCTCTCTCCAGCTGGCTTCATAGCACTGTCTCTTGCCACATTCCCCTCCACACTTAACTCATTTGCAGTGAGTTCTTTGTTCTTTCCTAAACCATTCTCTTGTACTTCTCTTATCCCCTTGCTAGATGCCCTTCTCTACTTGTCCATTTAGGTGACAACTCCTATTTTCAAAACCTTGTTCAGATGCACTTAACAAAAGGAAACCCTCATCCTATTTTATATGACCAGTTTGTAGCCTTGTTAAGGTGACTGGAGCTATCTTGTAAGTTGCCAAAACTTCCTGAGTCTTAACATGTCTTTGCTTAGTCTGGCTCTTATGTATCCCTCCTTCTTGCTAATTGGTCTCATAATTGTAGCACCCCACTTTACCTTATATCCTCAGAACTGCTTTTGTCTTGCTTTTTTGTAAGCTAATTTACTAGTAGGATATTTGTTTTTTCAATTTGTCTTTAACTGTCAAGTCAGTTTTTCCTGCACTTGGTCAGATCTGCTTACCAGTATTGATGATTATATATATGGAGAGATGTGTAAGGAATTAGGATCCATTAAAATTCCTTGGTTTTCACAGAGAAAAACTAATGTCCAGTGATTTTATTTGAATTCTTTTAATCTTTTAATATTGCTAAGAGTGGAATCTTATTTAAGATCTTTGTATTTACAATACTTAGCACAATGCCTGGAATGCAATAAGCACAAAATAAATATTTGTTGAACTTAATAACCAGTTTCCCCTGCTTAAAAAAAAAAGTGAGAATTCTTAAAATTTAGTGTTCTGTGAATTTTAAGCACCATTGTAAGTTACAATTGATCATACTAATATTTTTTTCGGTGTTGGTAAAGATTGGTGATGACGTAAAAAAAAAAAAAAAGATTGGGAGTGGCTTAAGGCATGGATATGTACCTTAGCAGTGGGTTTTTATATGAACTACACATAAACTTGCTCAACCATTGTCTCACACAGGTTCACTATTATGAAGATGGCAATGTTCAGTTGGTTAGTCATAAAGATGTACAGGATTCAGTAACTGTTTCGGTGAGTGTGGAGTATTTAATATGTCTCACTTGTGTCTTTTCTTTAAAAAATTGATTTTGATCCTGAGATACCTGGGTGGCTCAGTTGGTTATGTGTCTGACTTCAGTTCAGGTCATGATCTCATGGTTCCTGAGTTCAAGCCCCATATCTGGTTCTGTGCTGAGAGCTCAGAGCCTGGAGCCTACTTCAGATTCTGTGTCTCCCTCTCTCTCTGCTCTCCCCCACTTATGCTCTGTCTCCCTCTCTCAAAAATAAACATCAAAAAAAAATTTTTTTTAAAACAGCACAATAAAAAAAATTTTTATTTTGATCCTGAGTACTGATTCTGCCACTAGAAATTCAGTTTGTTTTCAGTGCTTTGATTTTGGCAGCTTATAAAAGCATGTAATCAACCAGCTATATTAGTTCACAGTCTTTGACTAAATGTAATAGAGTATATAATTACATAATATAAAACACAGTGTAACATAACATGATATAATGCCAAATAGTGATAATGGCTTTATTCAAACATCTTTCACTTTCTCTGTTTCTCAATTGTGAGATTTACTCAAGGACAGCAATATCTTCAGTCAGTAAATACTATGAGGAAGGAAAGTTTGCCAACAAATCTTATAGGGCTACATTTATATCACTAGAGAAGCCAAACATTTTTAGGAATATTCAACTAAAACGTGTTGTTCTGGAGTGCCTGGTTGGCTCAGTCAGTTAAGCATCCGACTTTGGCTCAGGCCATGATCTCCAGGTTCGTGAGTTCGAGCCCCACGTCAGGCTCTGTGGTGACAGCTCCAGGAGTCTGGAGCCTGCTTCAGATTTTGTGTCTCCCTATCTCTCTGCCCCTTCCCCCCACCTCTTTTGCTCTCTCTCTCAAAAGTATAAACATTAAAAAAATAGATATTATATATTTGTGTATATTTATATATATACACATACACATATATATATAAAATTTGTTCAGACAATAATACTATATGTGTGTGTGTGTGTATATATATATATATATATATATATATAGTGTTCTATACCTGGAAAGAAGGGACATAATTTTTTTGCATTCTCAGTGCTCCTTTTTATTCCTAGAAATTATTGAGCACCTTCAGATAGCTTTTGTTTGAGGTGCCTGGCTGGCTTAGTATGGCATGTGATGCCTGATCTTGGGGTTGTGAGTTCAAGCCCCACATTGGGTGTGGACCTTCTAATAAAAAAAAATCATAAAAACAAACAAACTAGCTAGCTTTGTTTATGTATGTTGTATCTACATTTACTTTATTAGAAATTAAAACTGAGAAATGTTAAATATATTTGTTAATTTAAAATAACAGTAACAAACCCATTACTTGCTGGCCTAAATAGCATTTTCATGGAAAAAGAACTATATTTTCCAAACCGAAAAAAAAAATTAGTGCAAAGAATGGCATTCACTTACAGTTTTACAAATTGTATAGTGTCTGACTTAATAAAAGACCACTGGATTCCCATATGTGCCCACACATTCCATTAGCCGTCAGAGTGATGAAGCCATCACACATCTTGTAGCTTCTGTGGACCTGCATTATGCACACTTGAGAGTGTGAGTGGGAAAGCAAATGACTTGTCTTAGCATTGCTGTGAAAACAAGATAGTTTTTACCATTTGAAAGAGTCTGGGAACTGCTGCCCTAGGCAGTAAATCTTAGCTTTTACCTATATTTTTGTTGTACCTAATGATGAAAGGAAGAGAGAGGATGAGAAATGAACCACAGTGAAAAGGATACGTTTAGTTAATATGGTACCTGAATCATGTAAAGCAAAATGTATTGGTTGATTTAACATCACAAGTGGCAGATAGAGGAGTATATGAGTTTAACATATGTGGCTGATATTGGTGAGGGCATTGTGTATATCATCTTAAACCAGAGATATTTTCAAGGCATAAACATTTCAAGATGTCGTGATGATGTCTTTGGGGCATACTGTGGTAGATTGAAAAGAGCGTGGGGTCTTTTGGCAGAAGACTTGGATTCAGATCCCATCTTTCAAGAAGTGTGTAATTTTGGTCTAGTCACTTATGAGGATTCTGTTTTCTCATCTGGAAAATGGAGGTAATGATAACAGATCAACCTCACAGGGCTGTTGGGAGAATCAAAGAAGGTGATGTGCATGGGAACACTTGATAAACTGTAAGTTGTTATACAAATGTTAGTCAAGATGATCTTTTCAGTATGTTTTTATTTATTGTTTATACTTTTTTAAAAATTCCTATTTCCCCTTTTCCTCTGTTAGAATGAAGTCCAAACTGCCAAGGAGTTTATTAAAATCATAGAGCATGCAGAAAATGAGTATCAGGTAAGAAGATTTGGAACTAATTTCTCTAGATCTCTAGAACATTATTATTTTGCTGTTAACACATTTTGTTAGAACTTTTCTTTGTCCTTTCAACATAAATATATGTGTTGTTCAGTGTAACTAAGTGTGGAAGCTGCAGACCTTGCAACTTGGCATTGTGCTTACTGTCAAGGTTTTGACACTGGAAGAGATTATAGCTCTAGTTTTAGAAATAATATAAGTGGGCTTCTTAACTTACTTCAGAGATGGGAGAGGAGCTTACTAGGAATATTATATCCTGTTGTCCTTCTTAGAAGACTCAAACATGCCCTTTGACTACAGAGTTACTTTCCTAATCACAACTATCCATTTCTGTTCAAGCAACTTATCTTCAATTATCTGTTGCAGACAGCAATTAGTGAAAACTATCAAACAATGTCAGACACCACATTCAAGGCCTTGCGCCGGCAGCTTCCGGTTACCCGCACCAAAATCGACTGGAACAAGATACTCAGCTACAAGATTGGCAAAGAAATGCAAAATGCTTAAAGGCTGAATGTAGGATTCTTCAGTATGTGGAAAGAAAGGATTCAACATGCGGTCATATGATAAATAAGTGATTTATAAACAAGAGTGATATTTTGCTAGGGCTTTCAAAGTTAACAGGTTTTCTAGCCTCATGGAATACTGTTGAACCTATAGCATCATCTTGATTCTTTTGTGTTCTCTGCCTTGTAATTTTCTGTTTTCACTATCTCTACTTGTAAATTTTTTTTTTTTTTTTTTAATTCTGCCACATTTAATGATGGAGAGAGATCTATCCTGGAGTCATTTTACTGTTTAGAAAATTTTCCTAGCCATGAAGCCCTGTTATTGATACAGACAGGTAATATGCCCAGTACTTTTCTACCCCTATCCTTCAAAGCACTTCTGGTACTTTAGTGGTTTTTACTGATCCACCAACAGGTAAAGAGGCTATGCTACAAACTAGTTGAATGGAAGACACATTCATCCTTCTCCCTCTGACTGCTTTGATTATCATTTATAACATCTCATAACTGTAGTGTTCAAAAGTTTGGATTGGGCTTTTCAGGTCCTTTTGTGGGGGCAAAGGAAGTTTTCTGGAAATTCCATTATAGCCAGCTTCTCTGGGGAAGTTGTTTTTAAATCCAAAGACTTGAACCACATTCCCTGCACATGAACGTGTTTGCTTTTTTCCTCTTCCCTCATTGTCTCCTTCCCATCTAGTACCGTTATAGTTATAGACATCTGCATTTTTAGAAGAGTTTTACCCATTTATTATTATTTTTTATTATTCAAGAACTGCTGACGTACTAGGGATGTAGTAGAGTATAAAACTTGAAAAATGCAGATGTTGAAGGAATAATAGTATCTTGTGCTTTAATACTTTGTGGCAGGATTATACTATAAGCAGATGATTCAAACAACTATGTAAATCACAAACACAAAAAATGAACCAAAGTGAAAAGGATATGTTCCAGGCAGTATCTTTCTATTGTAACCTGTTATTTAAGGGAATACTAGTGATTTGTTCTAAATAGGATGTAAAACTTGTTCCAAATTACTTTTCCTCAGTCCTGCCTGCCAAGAACTTAAATGTAACTGTGATTCAACAACCCTTCCCAGGTATATTGGCAGGTATATGTATGATCTCAGAATACACAGGTGACATAGATATGATATGACAGCTGGTAATGGTGGATTCATTTACATTGTTTACACTTCTATGACCAGGCCTTAAGGGAAGGTCAGTTTTTAAAAAACCAAGTAGTGTCTTCCTACCTATCCAAATACATGTCAAAAAAGAAGGGTGTTTGTGCTTCAGCTTTGTTTTTGCTCAGTAATACAGTCAAGCAAGTTTGTTTCCAAGTGACCAGTTGAACTGTGTAAGCATTTTTGTTTATTTCAAATAAAATATATTTGTATTATGTGTCATTCATACTATCCATTCATACCACACTATCCTCTGTATCAGGTAGTCCAATAGAAATATACCTGTTTTGTTCTTAAATTGTCTGAGTCTTTCCTTTTCGATCCATGTCTTCAGTTTTTGTTCTCAAGTAAGAGAACTGTGCTTGGTCTTAATTGATGAGGATGTTCAGGGTTTCTGAACTATTACAGATTCAGTGATTATCCAAAAACTTGGAAAGAACAGCGCTTTTTTTTTCCTTTTTTTTTTTTTAGTTTGAGCAATGTCCCTGTGGATAACATTGCTCCTCACTCAGAGGCTGCGGGTGGTTCAAAGATTTTGCTTTGGTTTTCCATTTCTAGTTATCTTCTCTGTCTGACATTGAGAAAGCAAGGCCCAAGTATGGTTCTAGTCACTAGACAAGAAGTAGAAATGAAAGAATCCCTGTACCTTGAACTTGGGTGGTATTTCACATTGACTTAACTCTAAATGCAACTTTACTTCCTTGCAAATTGGACTTAGCTACAGACATGAGGGGAAGGCTTTTATCCTGGTTCCTAAGAACCAGAGGAGTTTCAGTGGTTCACACTCCATCTAAGGCCAGTTAAAGTCCCACCTTTTGAGGGAATATTTGTTGTACTATACTCTGTACTTGTAGCACAAACAGATTCAAACATTCTTGCCTTTGCCTTTAACTTATTAACTGTCAGCCTGCCCCTAGCCTATCCCATCCACTTCCCTAGCCCATATAGACTTTTGTAAAAACTTAACTAATCTTTTGGCTATCTAAAGCCCTTGCTTAGTTGTATAATCGGGAGGAAGTCAGCCCTCCTTGCCAAGTGCTGCAGAGACCTTACTCCCTTAACCTCCTTCAGGATATTTGCTTGAATTGTGTCTTATTTTGTCACGTGCTGCTGAAATCTGCCCGTGGTATCCTAGGGTAAAGGTTTCTCAGCCAGATGGAAAGGAGTTTTCTGGGAGGCCTCACTCCTATATTTGGATTTGAAATTACACTGCTGAAAACTATTGGTTTCATTTGAGCCTGGGTAGTTGTGCTGCTGTTAGCTGCCTTGTTCCAGTGCCTGTTCTCTTCTGTAATGTAGAACTTTGATGCTGGACTCATCTGTGTCCATGAGATACTTGGCAAACCTTGGCAATTTTTTCTCCAGACTCACAAAAGACTGATACATTACTGAATGTCAATTTATAAATGTATAATCTCATATAGAATGAAGCTACCTACTGCTTGGGAAATCAAAGAAAGAAAAGAGGGTTGGTAAATACAGAACAAAACTGGATGGTCCTATAAGTTGAGCTAACAAAAATTTTCCCTTGAACAGAGAATGTATAAAAAGACACGGTAGATCTTAGCCCACCGAGAGCAGTAACCAATATCATACCTTGTCAAATCCAATACATTGAAAAGCACTGTTACACATATGAATATACTGTTGATTCTCATTATTCACAGTAGTTCATTGCCAGCAAACACTGAGTTGGCAAATAGGAAATACTGCTTCTCAGGGAATACAGGGTTAGGTGCTTGGGAACTAATGGCCACATTTTTGTCAACAGGTCAATACATGATCTTATTTTACATGTGTGTTTCTATTTAAATCACCTCATTTAACATATTGTTTATTCATTAACCTTGAACTCCCAGCCAATAGCACTATAACTCCTGCTTATCTAATAGGAATATTCTCTATAAAGCACATCACAGCATTGTGCTTAGGAACACCAGATAGAACTTCAGCACTACACAGGTGTGGGGGCCATTTTAAGCAGTGAAGTCACCACCAACAACAAAAAATGTGACCATAATATGAACCACGAAAAGGATGCTTGTTTATAATATGAGCTGAAACAAGAAGGCAGAACATGACCTTGCTCGTTGCAGCTGGGAACATACACATTGGGCAACTCAGGTTTTTTTTGCTGCTCTGCACAGTTCCATGAATGACTACAAAGTTACCGCAAGTATTGATTTGGGGGTTAGAAGTAAATTTAAGGGAGTAGGTGAATTTGCAAATACACAATCTGCAAATAATGAGGATCAGCTGTACTTGCCACAGCCTCTGACCAATTTCAGCATTCAGTTTAAGGGCTATTTCTAGTTGTATTCAGGACTATGGTCTACATGAACTTAGCATTCAGATGCTTAATTGTGAAGCCCAAGTAACTATGCAGTAATGAGAAGTAATGAAGAAAATACAGAACTTTTAATATGCTTCTCCAAAGTTACTTTGGGAGGCTATAGGTTTATTCTAGTAACGTCATTGGCCAAAGTTAACTTTCAGATTGCCTTCAGTGATATTTGGACCCGTACTAAAATCAGCCACTTTAAAGTCAGATTCTTTACAAGTGCAGATGGTTTTAGAGAAAGTTTCAAGGAAGTGAGACAGGGAAGGAGAACCATTCTAGACATCTAGACAGCCATATGTGGTAACAATTACAACTCCATGTGAAATGTATTTTTCTAGATGAAACTGGTTTAGAGAGGTTCCATTGTAACCAAGGCCACATAACATATTTTTACTCAGGTTGGTACTATACTACAGCTGTTTGCATGTTTCGATAACATCTAGGAGATTGGCCTAAGGTTTGGGGGGTGGTGTGTGGGGAGGGGCGGTGGTGTTAGAAATCCAGGAACAATGGGGACTTAGATTTACTCATCAGCATGGAACCAAACATCAGTGTGGGTGTGGTGGATGGGAGGTTTTTGAAATGGTAAGTTAACATGGTGATTTTAAGAGGTTCACTCTTGGCTACTGTCAGACCTCACCAGGTAATTGTGGAGAAAAAAGGTGGAGAAATCAGCGATTTTACTAGTGTTTCCCTCTACTTTGCACAATTTCTAAGACATAAATTCTTAAGCAATTTCCCCTGCCCAGTTTTTCCTCTTCCTCTTAGCTTTGGTTCCCACCAACTTTGCATTTCCTGTTGCTAAAATCTGTTATTCCTGGCGATAGTTGGTTATTGGCCTGGGGGCAGGTACAAGAGTAGCCCAGCTGGAGCATGACCTGGGTTCTGGACTTTCCTCACACTAGGTTATGTTGAATGCGTGGCCTCCTACAGGGAATTACTTTGCAGAACAACACTAACTTTAATATTTTTGTAACTGGTATATTTTTTTAAAGAATTTTTTTTTACATAACTTTTTATGTTCTTTGCCCCATTCTAGTTGGTGTGTTTTTGTTATTAGGGAGCATAAATAGATGCAGAGGCTTGTTTTATGTTTGTTGTGGGAGCCCCACCCCCTTTAGTTTGTCTTAATTGTCTTCTGAAGCACGCTAGTCTATTCTCTTCCTGGTACTGATGCTGTAGCTATTAACCATTTATTGCGTAAGAGACCAGTCTCTTGCTCTCAGGCTGATATTTTGATGAGTGGGGCAACCCTTGCTTATATACGAGTAACAATTAAAGAGCAATACAGACTGGAATGCAATTAAGTGCCCAAATATGTGTGGCTCAAGGGCAGGGATCACCAGCCTTTCCCCTAAAACGAAACCTGTGTGGCTGAGAAAAGTAATGACTGTTCCGTGCTGGCGGAGCCCCTTGTCCCTCCCTCCCACACGTACACACCTTTATCTCAGAGACACTTGGTTCTTCCCCACCACCCCCCACCCCCCTGAACTTCTTTGGCTCTTATGCCTTCCTCCCTGCGTCTGAAAGCTCGAGGAGGGAGAATGGGGGAGGGGGGCGTGCCGCTCGCTTCCGTACTGATTTCTGTCCCTAGCAGTCTGGGGGAGGTGCTGGATAAGCTGCCCCAGTCCAGCTGCAGCCAACCCAGGTCCCAGTCCCTGCCCTTTGCTCTCCTGCTTTTCAATAAGTCCCGAGGCTCTTGGGGGGGTGGGGGGGTGGGCGTGGGAGTAGCCCTAGCTGAGGCTCGGAAGTCTCCCTGGGCTGCTCAGGGGGCCCCAGGCGGTAGCCACGTTCAGATTCTGGCTCGAAGCCAGGGGAGGGAGCTTGGGGTAAGGGGAGGGCCCTGAGGGAGGGGTCAGACTCCTTAGGAAAGAGTTAATGGGAGGAGGGGGAGGGGATTGGACGGAGAGACCGAAGGGAAGACTCAGGTAGGAAAAGAACCGAGGAGGGAAGCCTGGTGGGGAGAAGGGAGCCTGCAAGATCAGAGGGTCAGAGTTAGGGGGCTTCCCCCTGCTGCACCCTCATCCTAGGGCCGCCAACTTACATCCGCGGCGGCGACTTTCAGTTTCATTTCCACGGACCCTCCTGCCTGGGCCGCAGCCGCAGCCGCCGCCGCGATGCCCAGTAAGTTCAGCTGCCGGCAGCTCCGGGAGACGGGCCAGTGCTTCGAGAGTTTCCTGGTCGTTCGGGGACTGGACATGGAGACAGATCGCGAGCGGCTGCGGACCGTTTATAACTGGGATTTCAAGATCAGGTACGGGCCGGCCCAGTCCCCGGCCCAGATTCGCGGGCCCAGCTCGCCGCCACGACCCCTCGCCGCGGGGCCACCCTTCCCGCCCCGGGGCGCGGAGGGACGCAGCTCCCCCAGTGGCGCAAGCCGGTCCCGGGGCGGCG